GAGATACGTCTTTCCGGTTCAGTCACAGTTACGACTCCATCATTATAGTTAGCCCTAAGATTTTAAATCAAATATCAATATATAGACAAATTTGCTTGATGATTTCTCCATTTGAGTTGATTAATCAATTATTATCCTTGTGTGATCCATATGATGCCAGCACAAAAGGTAAAAGAGAGGTGAATTTCTCTTTCTCTTCGTGGGTTATTTCATTTATCTGCAAAGGTATGTTTCAACCAGCTAAACAACATTGGATACGATTGATTTATCATAATCATGAAAGTTACATACTAACATTATTATGTTTCTGAACTAAAGTCTAATTCGCTATATAGTGAATCGACAGGTGTTTATATGGAAATTCCAAAATATTAATTCTCATTAAATCGGATGATTATAAATAGATTCGTATGTTCATTACATTGCACATGTCTTACGGCAAATCGAGAGAAAATAGAGGATTATCTGAAGATATATACACGTGGCATGTATTAGTTCTTCAATTTGGCAACGCAAGAAGTGACTTTAATCCATGATTACTTCATGAAAACATAAAAATTGATAAAATCTGATTCTTGCCATGTTTCGGTCCGTCAAACAAGGCCAAATGTGTTGGGTGATCTCAACACAATGCTAATAAGCAAACACTAGATTATATTTTAAGTTTATAAAATTAGCTAATACAAGTTCGACAGTCCACGAGATACAATTATTTAAGGATTAATTAATTAGTATTATTTGTAGATACGCTCAAGTGATAGTGATATGCCTACGTACGTGATTGCCAGCATTTGCATTGTAGAGTTTCTTATAAGAATTTTTCATTCCAAAAACAATAATAAAATACTATTATTTATTATTTTACTATTCTTTTATAATTGAAAAATTCTCGTGAGAAATCTCCAATGCTCTAATCTTTCTTGCTTGATTAAAGTGATTGGAATCTGTGTCTCTGATTTTTTTTTAATACTAGTTATCAAATATATTTTTTTCCTATCTACTTGTAGTGAAAACAATTGAGTCTTTAACAACTTATATTAAAGAGACAATAAAATATAGGCTCGTTACAGTCAAAATTTTGGAAAAATAAAATCAAGTATTTTGGCAGAAATGTACTTTTTCCACATTATAAGAAAAATTACTTAATTGTGTGGTTTTCTTCGTTTAAAAAAAAATGAAATCAATAGAAATTCCATTAGAACTATGAAAGTCCGCTAACTATTAAATGCAAATGGCTTCTTTGTAAAGGATTAAGAGCAAATAATGTACCGTCATTGTATCTTTTAATTAAATTGAATGTAATGATCTGATCAACAGTAATTAAAGTGATCAACAGACTAATGTATGATATAAATTTATACACATATATACAAGTAACTTCCTTATTTTTTTAAGAACAAAATTCAAAATTATATTCAAAATCAAGATTTTTTTTATAGTACCAAAAAAAAAAAAGTATATATATATATATATATATCGAGTAGCTAATTTGTTGAATGTGAATGAATAAATTAGAAGCCATTTTTATTTATATCGTTTTAATAATATTTGTTCATTTGTCCAGTTGGGTTACTTAAATAATCTTATCGCACAGATTGTATAATTATATACAGAAAGTGGGAACGTGTATATGTTATTAGATGAACTTAATATCTTTATAGATATTTTTATATACTTTATAGATGTTTTTAACGCATGATAATTGGCTCGTGAAACTACAAATAATGGGGTCACCATGCCACCACAGACATCAAAGTCAACGAATCTCTTGCTACGTTTCAAAACCTAGCTACCATATATATCAAGATACATTTCATATATAAAGTATTACGTTTAATAGTACAGATGCGTTGAACATTCAATATACGCCCAGTTTTCTTACTATTTTGGTTTATTTACTTTTTTGTCGTTACTATTTTGTATAGAAGACATACACTCTTTGTTAAAGAAGAAACAAAAAACGAAGAAGACATACACACATGACGGAGAGCAAATTGCAGCAATGCCAGCAAATATTATATACAGTAGATATATGGGGCAGATGTAGGTAATAAGTAGTGGGGTCAAATGCCCCCTATTTTTATTTTTTTTAAATAAACTTTTAATTAAATATGTTATTTTAATAAGTTTACAGAAAAAATATTCTTTATATTTAAAAAAAAATTATATTGAAAATGCTCCCGATTAAAAAAAAATTCTAGATCACTGAATATACATACTTATTTTTCTTCACGATTTTGTACCTCTCTTCTTTTTGTTGGATTTCCTTTACGATATATTGTATACCCTTATCAAGTTATCATAATGGTTTCTATATTTTACATGTATACCATTAAGTAGATACATATATATATACGCATGACTTTTTTTTTGCTAATGAAAAGAAAGATATATACAGTACGCATATTTTGTCATTCATGCAGTATTCATTTAATTTTATCTAATTGTATAAATAGACAAGTCTTTAATTCTTTTTTCTTTTTGTCGTGAACACTAAATCTTAAAGAGTAAAGAGTGTGATCCTAGCTAGCTAGTCCATACAATCTAAAACTGTCAAGTAAGCATCACAGCAACCCGAGTCAAGTTAGTACTGTATATATGATATATAGGATTATTATAAAGAACCTGATGTTTTTTAATGGTTGAAAAAAGAAGATATAATTTTGCTTTCACCACATTAAAATCAAACAAACAAATTTTGGTTATCATCTTCCACATATATCTAAGATATGTCTATAGGTTTCGTGGTCCGAAATCCTTTCCTTTTCCCTTTAATTTAAGCGAAAATAAATAATAAACAATATTTCGATCCTTTGTGATTGTCTCCACACTTTGCTTAACGAGTAATAATAAATTAAAATTGGTTGTATCTCATTTGCAATCGTGTCCGGTATGTGGAACAGCCAAAAATGGCATTGTCAAACTCAATAAGTTTTAGTTATCAAAAAAATTCCAGAAGTATAGCACGATTAATATATATTTCTTTATTTTTGTGTAAGCCAAATAAATTAGGGACTATATGTTTTTCATGGTTATACTCACGACGGTAACCAGAAGTAGAATTGGTCATGGAGATAGGTTGTGCATCGTCTTGAGTCGTCACAATCTGTCTTTGTAATAATAGCTACACTATGTGAAGTATAAGCCTTAATACACTGAATCATTGTCCAACACGTGTATTCAATGTGTGGTACCGGTACGTTGTGACTCACAGCCGCATAGCCGACATCTAAGCTAAACATCAGTTAAATTTAGGTATTCGTTATGATTCGATCTTAAAATTCAAACATAGCTCTATAGAGTAAATAAAAAATAAATTGATATTTGTTAAAAAATAGAACAAATCATAAACTTGAAAAGACTAATAAACATTATTCTCAGATAAAAATCAGTTATAATAAACAGAAGAATATTATTATAGTAGTTTCTTCTAATAAATGATATTGCTATACTATTGATGTTAAGAAAAATGATATTGCTGATTATATATTTTATGATTTGAGTGAAGACGTCAAAAAGAAGAAGTTAAAAAGTGATTATAGCTTAGGTAGTTTTATTATTTAATGATTTGCTTTTATAACAATTTAAAATTGAATCTGGTCAGCAGCACGTTAATAATATTTGTGATATTATTAGTAAACAAGTGAACAGGATTAATCAAAACTACACTTTATATGCATACAATCTCTATTCTTCAGAAGGGTAGAAGTCAGAAATGAAAAGGAAACAAAAAGGAGAGTCAAAAACGGAAAAAGGTATCACCTAGCTAGTCGTCGTGTTTGTAAACTGAACAAGAGAAAATTCTAATCCAACTTGTTTTACGAGAGAATCATAAAAGTCAAACATCTAGAAGAAAACTTCTTCTCACAATGTGATCAAGGCCAATTTTTTAGATAAATTATTATATATACATTTTTTTTCCCTTCGAGAAAACCCTACATCCATTTGCGTAAAAGGCATGTGATGCAACGTGTATATATGAGGAGCCGACAACAGAGGCACACACATACCTTATCTTATTTTGTTGGTCAACCAACCCAAAAAAAAAAACATTATATTTTAAAACGAATTATAATGCTTCTTCCTTTGTCAACCTTTAACATGGTCAAAACAGTTTCACCAAGGCTTATTATATTCTCAAGTTTTCTTTTAACTGAAAATTATATCCAAACCCAAAAAAAAAAAATATACTTTTTATGATAATTACATAATTTTGTTTAAATTAGTTGAAGGAAAAATACATAAAACTTTTGTTGGCTAAGATTGATTCTGATTGACTTGTTTGAACTTCAAGTGGGTAAGATATTGTCGTATGCTCACGTCTAACACATAGGTTCTCAATGATAAATGGAACGAACCCAAAAAAATGAAGTATATTTTGATATTTTCTTTTTGTTAGCCATGATTTTTTTAGGTATCTGGCCCGTAATATTCTATATCCTCGCTTACAAACAGGTCGAATAAATGGGGAGAGATTTCAAATCTCATATGGAGGAGTCCCTATAACACTTTTAGATCACTGATTTCATAATGCAGTGTATTTTTGAACGGATGAAAAAGCTGACTGACCATGAAATATTTTGTTCCACTTAAATACTTACGTTATTCTTTGTATTTTGAATGGAGTTGTGTCTCTTGAAGTTTGGAATCTTACCAGCTTTGTATTTCATCTTCTATTCGTATTCTACTTTGTATTCCATTTTGATATGAATGAAATTTAGTCGAAAAAAAAGAAGAAATACAACACTAAACTAATGTAGAAGTAATTATATTGTACAGAAAAAATATTGTCTCTAGTGATTTCAATATTTATTAATTTCGGTATCCCACTGTTAAGGAAACTGGCAAAACCAGTGTTCCGTATTTGACACTCACGTCTTCCCTTCCACGTGTCATTCATACACGTCTTACAGTGTCCCCACTTTTCTCGTATTTATATACCGAACGACCCGACCCTTCTTCTTCTTCTACATGTTCTTATTTCACAATCCCAAGAAAATTTCAAGATTTTTTCCTAACAAGCAAAAAAAAAACAAAACTTGTAAACACAACCAATAATCTATCTTTGTAAACTGGAAAATTATGGCTATTGAAGGTAACCGGAGGCACACTTTCGCCGCTTATTTGAAATCGGAAACCCTCGCCGCCGTCGACGAAACTTACCACTCAGACGGCGATCACAACCGCGGCGTTGACAAAAACGCGTTTAGCGATTCTCAGCGACGTCCAAGCAACGCATCGACCACTAGCAGCGATTCTCAGTGTCGTCCAAGCAACGCATCGACTCCTAGTAGCGACTCATCGTCCCCAAACTACCCACTTTCTCCATGGAACCAAACTTACTATCCACACAACGACAATACGACGCCGTTTTCTTCGTCTACTTCTCAGTCCCCGTGGAACCAATCTTGCTCTCCTTACCACAAATCCCCTTGGATTTACCAAACCAGGAACAGCGATTTCGAAGACGATCCTGATAACGGTTTAATCGGTACGGTCGTTAGACAAGAAGGACACGTGTACTCTCTTGCCGCTTCCGGTGATCTTCTCTTCACGGGATCCGATTCCAAGAACGTTCGGGTCTGGAAAGATCTGAAAGATTTCTCCGGGTTTAAATCCACTAGCGGGTTTGTTAAAGCCATTGTGGTAACCGGAGATAACCGGGTTTTCACCGGTCATCAAGACGGTAAAATCCGGGTTTGGAGAGGATCAAAGAGAAACCCAGAGAAATACTCACGAGTCGGAAGCTTACCGACTCTGAAAGAATTTCTCACCAAATCGGTAAACCCGAGAAACTACGTCGAAATTCGCCGCCGGAAAAACGTCCTCAAGATCCGACATTTCGACGCCGTGTCGTGTCTGACCGTAAACGAAGATCTCGGTTTGCTATACTCCGGTTCGTGGGACAAGACGCTAAAAGTCTGGAGATTATCAGATTCGAAATGTCTAGAATCGATCGAGGCTCACGACGACGCGGTCAACACGGTGGTCGCCGGATTCGACGATTTGTTATTCACCGGATCAGCCGACGGAACTTTGAAAGTGTGGAAACGAGAGCTTCAAGGGAGAGAGACGAAGCATGGTTTGGTACAGGTTTTGATGAAACAAGAAAACGCCGTTACGGCGTTAGCAGTTAATTTAACGGACGCTGTGGTTTACTGTGGATCTTCTGACGGTTCCGTTAATTTCTGGGAACGGAAGAAATATTTGACTCACGGCGGGACGCTTCACGGCCACAAAACGGCGGTGTTGTGTCTAGCCTCCGCCGGGAGCTTGTTGTTGAGCGGAGGAGCGGATAAGAATATCTGCGTTTGGAGGAGAAACGTCGACGAAACGCACACGTGTCTCTCTGTTTTGATGGATCATGACGGACCTGTTAAGTGTTTAACGGCGGTGGAAGAAGCGGAGGTTGATATCGACGGTGAAAGTAACGGAGACGGCGGAGAGAAAGGGGATCGACGGTGGATAGTGTACAGTGGGAGTTTGGACAAATCGGTGAAAGTGTGGCGCGTGACGGATTACGCGTCTTAAGAATTATTGACTGCGTTAGTCAACGGCGCGTGATTGCATAAGCGCGTGATGAAATGTTTTACGCGGCCCGGCCCGGCCCATGTGATTGTTGTTCTGGGGAAATTTATTGGGAGGCAGATTATGGTACAAGTGATTAACCAATCATAAACTGCCATGTCATGTGATTTTGTCTTCTTCTTGTGAAGTTTGATAAAAAGTCGTGTGCCCTTTTGTTGGTTAGATCTTTTCTCTGTGATTAGCACATACTTTAATCATGTGTAGCCAGAAGAAGAAAGAAGGTGGAGAAAAGATAGGAAAAGAAAGATTCTGCTACAATGAGAAAATAGATAAAGAAATCTTTTAAATTGTAAACAATGTAACTTGTTTGTATAATAATATATTGGGTTATGTTTGATATGGTTGTTGTCATTGTTGAATATATATTCGACCTTTTTTATGATTTGGAAGTTGGATTATTGCAACTTCAAATCTATAACACGTAAGGTGGATTTGGTTGTTCAGATTGTTGAAAATGAGGTCTTACCCTTTTGGCCTTTTGGCCTTTTGGATTAAAATGTGATATTTTATTGATGAATTTGAAACATACGCAACGCAAGAAGTTTGTAATGTCTTTTTTCTTTTTAGCATGGTGGTATTTCTTTACGTCCAAATTTTATTTATTTATTATATACGAGATCATCCTACCAATCACTTGTATTATTTGATTTAGATTTTAGATCGATATGAGTCAAACCAATTTTTATAATTTTGTAAATTTGTAAGTTAAATTTTAACGGTTGCAGTTGTGAATGATCTCTTAAATGTCCGTAAATGACTATTTAAACAATTCTTTAATCTTATTCACATATGGCAAACATCACCTAAAATTATTAAGGGATTTTAGTGAAAAAACCCTTCAACTATAGATGAATCGGATAAAAATCCCTCAACTAGTTTTGTAATTTTAAAACTTCTCAACAAATTTTCCTTAATAAAATATCCTCTCCGTGAACAGTACTTTCAAATTAAAACAGACTACAGTTAAAGTAAAAACGGAACGTTTTATAGTTATAAAAAACGGCATGAATACTGCTCACTCTCGTTAAAACATAATCCCAAATCGATTTTAAACCAAAAATTAGAGTTTTTTGTCGATTTAAAAATCTCCAAATCGATTTTAGACCAAAAATCAGGATTCTTTATCAATTTCAAAATCTCAAGTTGAGCTGTGCTAAACTCGGGTAAGTTGATTTATGTCGATTCAGATCGATTAATGCTGAGTTCATTATGTCGATTCTGACTGTGTCCAATCTTGATTATTTGATGATGTTTCGTTATGTTGGTTTTGTTTTTCTAGTGTGATTCAGGAACGTCAATGGAGTTAGGTCCCGAAATACCCAGGAAATGTCAATGTGGAGCATCGACAATTGTGTTGAAATCTACTACAAAACAAAATCCCGACAGAAAATTTTATCGATGTGGTGCAATTTCGGGTCCAAATCATGTATTCAAATGGCTTGATGAAGCACATCTCGAAGAATTTGATGTTTTGGCAAATAAGCATGATCGACCAATTTTTTTGTTAAGAAAAGGAATTCAAACACCAAAACAAAACAGGATAAGACATTATATATCAATAGAACATAGTTACCTCATCATCTTGCTCCAGATTTGCGAAACCTAAACCCTATTTCGAAAAAAAAATTTCTCCCAATTCGCAATTATCTTTCTCCCATCTTGGCGTCTTTATTTTCAAATTTCTTCTAAACGAAACAGTAAATCATTCCCAGTGTCTCTCAATTGAATTCCTAGCCACAAAAACTTAAGAGAATCACATTTTTGAAAACTAGGGTTCATCATTTAGGTTACAAAATTTGGGGATTTTGGAGATTTAGGTTGAATTGGGTTTTAGGAATCGAGTTTCTAAAAAATCATGTTGTTTTTTTTTAAATCGTGTTGTTTAAGTGTGTTGGGTGTCGTTTTTTTTTAAATCAAAACGACTCGTTTTAATTTGACGGTACTGTTCACGGAAGAAATATTTCATGAGTTTTTATCCGATTCATCTTTAGTTGAGGGGTTTTTTCACTAAAAACCCAATTATTAACAAACACTAACTTAACGAACCAATGGTACTGGTATCCCAAATATTTGAGTACAATAAAACAATATTAATTCCTAGATTTAAAACTAGAGAAAATTTGATTTCCCTAAACATGACACATATATGATATATCTTACATTCAAGACTACTCCAACTTGGTTTATATATTGATAACCGTAGCTCTGATATTAGTTACGTTTTCCCTATGTAAATTTGGAGAAATTGGACTAGTACTTCAGCTTAAATATTTTCTTGTACAAAATAGATTGTACAACTCTTTACGGAATTAGAGATGGTACTTGCAGTAGACAAGGCTTAACTTACAACTCGGTAAATTTCATGATGTCAATATGGCTTATTTTACAACTCAATAAATCTGTACTTAAAGCTCCACTAATTTTTTGTTGAGATTGTTATGAACAATAAACCATGCCCATAATCTCCCCTGGTTCTTATTTATTATATGGCAAAAAAATTCTGTATTACATTACTAACATCTGCCGACTACCGTTATCAATATCATATAAATAAAGAAATACAAGAAATTCTGATGGAAACACAATTTTGATTACTAAATTTTAATAATGTGTACCCGAATGATTAGGATTTAAATTATTGTTGCGACGTAGTAAATAACACCGACCTTAGCTCAGTTGGTAGAGCGGAAGACTGTAGTGTTAGCAGATAATCTTTAGGTCGCTGGTTCGATTCCGGCAGGTCGGATATTTTTTATTTTCTTTCTTAACATTTATTGGGCCCGAAAAAAGAAGCCCAGTAGCTTATTTCACTCTCTTTCCTTGGAAAACCCATAAATATAAAACAATAAGCCCATATATGTAAACAACAAACCATTTTCTACCGACCACTATATATCTTTGTTGCTCTACAAAGACTACAATTCGTCTTCTTTTTTTGTTTTCCTAACATTGCTCTACGATTTGTTTGTGTTTTTTAAGCAACCAAAATTACGTTTCATGAATCTAAACAAAAACCAAGCTTGTGTTAATCCGGTGGTATGGTTTTACTAGCCCTCGATAATATTTATTGGCTTTCACTAAAAGCATTCATGGCTTTTACAAATTTACAACCAAAATCTTGAATTATTCTAAATTTTAATTTAGGAGATGAAACGAAAGAAAAAATAATCCAATGCTTACAAATGTATCAATCATTCTGGTTTTTATTACAGTAGTTTGCTTTTCAATTTGGTAGAAATGTCTCGCAAAGAAAAGCATATTTGGTTACATATAGGAATTGTGTAGTAAATGCCTGAATGGAATTCAACGTAATTTCCATTTTCTAAAGAAGTGGAAAACACTCTTTAGTTTCCACTTAGAGTGGATGGAGTGTGACCCCAATCTATCCTCAATAGTTTTTTGACACCTACTTTTTTTTGGGTCCTAATCAAAAGTTAGGTCTATTTGTTCATTATTGTATTTTTTTTTTATTACATCAAAAGAGGAATATTTGAATTCCAGAGCAGGTGATCATATAATTTTGTTTATCACTTCCCTAGAAAAGTGGTTTAATCCTGCTTTACATACTACTATATTTTATATTCAACATTTTGATCTTCGAAACTCAAATCGAATATTTGATCATTTTAATTATATTTATAGAAGACATGTTACATTTCCAAACGTAGTGCCATCATTAAATTAAACATAGTTGAAAAATTCATTGCAACCAATAGAACTAACCATATTTAAGCATAGATGAATCTAATATTTTTGTAACTCTTTATTCGAAGAAGTCACACTCGACCTTGCATCTCTAAAGTCTAAACTTCGTGCCAATATTTAAATGGAACCTTTTCCATTACTGTTTATTATATATATATATATATATATATATATAGTGGTGGATCTAAACAAAATATTAGTTGGAGGTATAATTTTATAAAATGTAGGAAAAAAAAATTTTAGTTGGGGGCAATTTTTATTTTTATTATTAAATTTAAATTATTTAAATAATTTACCTAAACTATTTAAGAAAAAAATTAAAACAGTGGGAGGCATATGACACCCATAGCTTGTTAACTGTCTCTGCCCCTGTATATATATATTTTAAAGTTTAACGTATCTTTATAAAAATAAAAAGATTGAATAAGAAAAGGAAATATAAACCATGAAATATTTTTAAAAATACACTACGTTGCTCTCTGTTTCTTTTCTTCAAATGATTTGCTCTGTTTCTTCAACCAAGTTTTTGATAACACTAGGTCTTGATCTAGTGGTTTTTAAGTGTACTTAAATTCACTAATTCAAATCCATTTGGGAGGAATTATAGACTAAAGTTCAAAACTTCCAGAGTTTATAAAAAAAAGAAGTTTTTGATAACGGAGAAAAGAAGTTTTAACATTGTTATTGATGAAGAAATGTAAAGAAGTTTTTGATAACGAAGTTACTTACTTTAGTTTCTTCACCACAATCTTAAAGTGTTACGTATTGTTCTAGCCACATTTCCTCTTCTTTTTCCTCAGCTTTTTTTGTAGTGGTATTTTCCGTCACGCATAAGTTTTCTCCTCTATATATAAAAACTTCTTCACGAACACATCATCCAACACCAAATTTTACGGGAAACAAAATACTATAGCTAGAACAAGATATACTAAAAAAAAACATTAGAATGGGAACGTTCTTAGGACACTTTGTGCCTGGTCTCTCACTTGCACTTCTTGGTCTTTGGCATCTCTTCAATACCATAAGATCTTATTGTCTTAAAGGACCTGAAAATTTCTCAGCAAGATTCTGGTTCCCTTTCCCTAAATTCAAGCATCTCGAACTTATCTCCATTCTCTTTTTCTCCCTCTTTGCCATCATTCTCCTAACCTTAGATTTCCCTAATTTCAACATCTCCTCTTTTAAACCAGACAACCTAGAACACGCTTCCATGTTCCTCCACCTCATCATCTTCGCGTGTTTTGCTTTGTTCTGTGAGCTAACTCTTTGCTCAGATCTCTTCTCCGGTTTAATCGGAATCCTCTCTGCTTCTGTCTTCGCTCAAGAACTCTTCCTCCTTCATTTTCACTCCACTGATCATTTAGGTCTTGAAGGTCACTACCATTTCCTTCTCCAACTCATTGCTTTCGTCTCCTTCTCTTCAGCTCTAGCTTCTGCGTCATTCCCTAAATCATTTTCCGCGGCTCTAGTCCTCTCGGTTTCGGTTATGTTTCAGGGATGTTGGTTCTTAAACATGGGTTTCATGCTTTGGGTTCCAGGGTATGTTCCTAAAGGTTGCGTGAGCAACACGTCAGCATCTTTGGACAATAATAGAAGAAGTGTTGTTCATAGTAGTGCAGTGGCTTGTGAGACTCCTGGTGCTGAGATTAGGGCAAAAGCGTTGGCCAATCTTCAATTTAGTTGGACTCTGTCTGCTATATTGATCATTACTTGTGCCTTGTGCTTCAAGTTTTCTGGCAAAGTTTTGTTGCCTAAAATTAGGTCTTCGTCGGAGTACGAGCGTCTTTTCCGGCAAGGAAGTGATCGTTCTGCAGCAGCCACGGTGGAAGTATCGGCCAGTTCCGATCAACAATAGATTTCCCTTAATATGATGTATTGATGTAATAAGTAGATATATAATACACAATAAGTAGCCCTAATAATTACTACATATTTACAAGAGAGGAAAGAGTGTAACGCACTGAAAAAAAAGTGAACTCTTTCGCGTGCTCTATGAAGTAAAAGCATTTGCATAGCAACAATTTAGTAACCGATCTCACTGTTTAATGTTTATCAGTAAACCGTTGTAATTTGTAGACAAACGAAAAACACAGCTTTGTTCCAATATCCAACCTCTCAAACGATCTCTAGTAGAGCGCCTAAGGGCATGTTTATCGCTGGAAACAATTTGGGTTTCTTTAAGCATATTATATTAATTAACTTAAGATAAGAAACTCAATAAAAAATTCATGAATTTTAGAAACACATTGGGAAAAACTCTATTAGGTGTGTGTTTAATCGGGGAAAAATTTGACGGGAAAGAGATAGAAGAGAAAGGTGAAGGACAAAGCTTCGAACAGAATTTGGAAGACAAGAGGAGAAGTGTTTGATGGGAAGAATTTGACGGAATAACGGTGTGGTGAAGATCAGAGAAGAATCGCTTCAATAGAGAAATAAAATATCTGAGGAAGAAGAAGATCAGAGAAGAAAAAGATCGGAGAAGACGAAGATTGGAGAAGACGAAGATCGGAGAAGACGGAGAAGAAGAAGACCGGAGAAGGAGAAGAAGAATCGACCGAGAGAAAGAAATTTTTGACGGAGAAAACAAAGTATTGATGAAGTCCATTTTTTTCCCCAAATTTCAACATCATATCATAACGTGACACGTACACAAGTAGAATCGATCCTTAAAAATCTAAAACAAGAATCGTTTCTCTTTATTAATCCGATTTTTGATTTTTTTTTGGGCCAAAAAGCAACTAGAAACCTAACCAGATACCTGCAAGAAACATGGCCTAAGTCAAGCATTACAAGAGTAACGAGGATTGAAATTCGTAGGGTGAGAAAAAGCTAACACAGTGAAATATTAGGAGTCAAATAATAATTTATATACCAAATTTTAGTCTTTACTTAGTAAACTTATTGTCAGACCTGGGGTCTACTATTTCAATAAAACATTTTTTCCTACTTTAATAATACTTCTGATTTTGGTGGAGTACATTTATTTACAAAGAATCTTGGGAAACTGAAAAGAAAATTTCCATTGTGTTTCTTCAATGTGACTCGTCTAATCAATGTAAGAGTATATAACACGACATTAAAAATAGGTCTTTTCAAATTCACTTTTTTTATCTTTCCTTCTCTCCTTTACCAAAACTCTTCTTCTCGGCAAGGAAAAACAAAAAAAAAAACTAAAATGAAAACTAGTCGGAGATCGTCGGTTCGAAGCACGTCGGCAGCATATCAACGCCGGCTAGAACCGGAACCAAAACCGGCGTTGGATAGATTCATGAAGATTATTCTCCACTCAACAATCAAGGAAAAAATGATGGTAAAAACCCAATAAACAGATTATTACTATTTTTTCTTTTGAGTTAGATAAATATAATATCTGAAACTTGCTTGCATGTGTGGATTTTCGCAGAAAATTCCGGCTAGATTTGTGAGATTAGGTCCTAAACTCACTGACACGGTGACAATCGAGACTCCTGCGGGTTTCAAGCGTTCGATTCGGATCAAACGAGTCGGTGATGAGGTTTGGTTCGAAAATGGTTGGAGTGAGTTTGCAAAGGCTCATTCTTTGAGTAAAGGTCATTTTCTGTATTTTTATTACAAAGGGAACTCAAGTTTCCGTGTTGTGATCTTTGATGTTTCTGCTCTTGAAATTGATTATCCACTGGACAAAGTTGATGTGATTGAGAGTGATGATGATGATGATGATGAGGTGATGGAAGTTATGGATCTTGAAGAAGAAGAAGAAGAAGAAGAAGAAGGGTTTTCTGGAGTTGAAAGTAGTGATGATGATTCATGTAGTGTGATTGATTTGGAAGAAATGTTGAAGAAGAAACCAAGAGTCAACATCAAGTCTGAGCAGATTACAACTGGTAAAATTTTAGGACTTTCTTGTGGGTTTTGACTTTTGTGTCCCTTTTTATGTGATTTGGTTCGTCTTCTTCTTTGTTGTAGATGATGTTGAAGAGATTGATTCCATGGATGATATTGAAGAATATGAGATAGCCTTGACGAGGCGTAAGAGAAGTTCTTAAAACCTTGTGCAATATGTTTTCTTTGGGCTTTTTTTCAACAAAGATCTCTGCGGTTACTAGCTTAGTTAAACGTGCTTACAAGCTTGATTGTAGTAAGAAATTAAGACCCTTTGTGTAATGTATGTGTTTGTCATGTCTGAATCTGGCAAGAACATTTAGCTTAATTGTAGTAAGTAAGAAACTTGGCTCTTATGTGATCCTTTTGTGTATGAAAGTTTGCCATGTCTGAAATCTCCCCTTCAGAGAAGAGAACCTTAAGACAAGTTTATGGTTTCATCATCCTACATCCCACAAGTTAACCAACCATCTCATTAGCTTCACCAACTAAATCAATGGTGAAACAGCGGGTCAAAAGCCCTTAAAACCCATCATAATCAACATTCACATCAAACATCATTCATGCTCCTGATTTACTCACCAGTTCCGATACCAAATTGATGAAGATAAAAAGTAATTACAACTCTAGTTTTGACACTAACTACCACTCAAACAAAGAGTTTTTCACTCAGTCTTCAAATGTTTATCCACATCGAAACATAGGTACCCTGAAATTTCACTCAGAACACTACTAAAAACCTAGAGAACCAGACTGGATTCTCCAAGAAATGCAAGAGAGATACAACAGTTAAGAGAAGACCCTACATGAAATATAAATTTGGAAAGCTCCTCTGCAAGATCGCTCATGGAAAGCGATATTGTTTTTGGTCGGTCACACGTACTGATTGACGCGAAAGGCCGTGACTTTCAGAACGAAATCCCGAGTTTTGAGTAGCTCAAAAACACAAACATCTCCTTCGCCAATATTGTTCTCGAGTGTGAACTCGTACCATCCTTGGCTAAACTTAGCTCTTCCTGCTTTGTAAAGGCACCTCACTGGCCATTGTTTCTCCCCGAGCTGGAGCTTGATGAAACCAGATATCCCGCTTAGGTACTTCTCAGCAAAACCAGAAGGCAAGTACTGTCGAAAAACCGGACAAAACAAACAAATCTTTAGGACACAGGTCACACACAAAGTTTAGGCCTTTTCATCAAAATCTTCAACAAGAATCAAGTTTGTTACCATGATGCAGCCTCGGTATAGATATGATGGTCGCAGGACAACTCTGAAGAAAGGATTGGTTGGTTCGAATGTTTTGGCTGCATTGATGGCTCTTTCTCTTTCCTCTGCAGTTACAGTTCTTTTTCTAGCAGAAGCACTCTCGTAGAACTTTGAGCGGTTCTCCGAGTCATCTCCACCTGGAGTCGACGAATTCATTTCCTCTGCACATTCCAAACCATATGAATCTTCTGATCTGAACAAAAGTCAAGAGTTAAGAGTCTGTCACTGATACTTACCCGGATTGGGATTCTTCTTCTTCCTCCCTCTCTTCTTGAGTACCTTTGGCGTCTCTTCTGGTTTAGATTCAGCGAACAAGCTTTGTGTGGCTGTAGAACCATCAGACCCTTTATTTAGGGGAGCAGTAGATGCAGGGATCGGTGGATAAATGACCTTGGCGTCTTTGTTTTCAAGGTCACCAAACAATCGAGCGCGTTTGTTCAGCTGATTGTGTGCGGAATCCATGTTCATAGCAGCACTTGACAGTAGTTGATCTTAGAGTCTTGAGATAGATTGAAAATGTAGATGGTAGACGCGGAATCACCTTTTGTATCTTAAAACCAAACGTCTTGAAACAGGCAAAACAACTGATTTTGTTGTCAGCTATCTTTAGGCCTACATGCCAAATATGATCATCAGGTACAGTGAGTTGAATAGTAAAACAAAAATGACATTACAAGTTGTGGAAGACCGGTGAAGAAAGAAAGAAAGAAAGAAAGAACCGTGTAGTAAACTATTTAGAAGAAAGATACAAAAAGTTCCTTTTAGTTTCTTTGCTCGTAAATTATATAACCCATGTTATAGTTTAGAATCAACAAGCATCTAGAAAACACAATGGGCAGGAGAAAAGAGAGCTTTGCTGGTTAAAATCATTATCCAAGTCAAGTTATTAGTCACAATGTCAAAGCTAAACTCTCTTTATAGTCCAGATCTATGAAGTCCACTCATTGTCTTTCTATCTCTCTCTCTCTCTCTCTCTCTCTCTCTCTCTCTCTCTCTCTCTCTCTCTCTCTCTCTCTCCCCTCCAGTAAGCCAGCAAATACACTATACATGTTTTACGGTTTCAATTCAACGTTACATATTAAGATCAAAGTCAAATTAAAGTCATAATATTTCAACTTTTCTCCTACTATTCTCAATAAATCTGAACACAACCTGAGCAGTATCTGATGTCAAACTGGTTCAGACACATTTCTGAATAACACTGACCCACCTCTCATTTCGCTGTTAGAGAACCATAAATCACAAAATCAAGACTAGATTCAGGATTTTATCCAAAACCCAACTTCCTACCAAACCCAAACAGAGAACAAAAAACACTCGCTTGCAGAATTTCGATCCCAAATTGCAAAAAAGATAAGCTAAAACTGGCATTTCATTACTCCCTTCTCACTAAATTTTCACTACCCAAAACAACAAAAGAACACATCTTTGACTTGGTTTATAACCGTAATTGAACACAGAAGTTAAGAGGAAGTTTTATTCCCAAGACTCAACGAAGCTCGAGCAACCCAACACATGATTCCTCAAATTAATCAGAAATCAAATGCAAATAAAGAGCCTTTGAAAGAAGAGAGAAATTACCAGACGCTTTCGTTGAATAGTGGATGAGAGAATAAGGCTGTGGAAGAAAGGGAAAGGCATATTCAGATAATCATCAACAGTGACGAAGTATGTAAAGAGATAAAAGAAGGGACCAGAGTTAACGAAAGAAAGAGGGGTTAGATCATGAAACGACGCCGGAGAATCCGATACATAACACTGAGTCTCTAAGCAGAAAAAACCCTTTTCAGATCTGAAACCAATTTTGAGTTTTGCTTTTGGTCAAAGGCTTAAACTCTCTCTCTCTCTAACCCTCGTTTAAACCTGACCTGAGTGACCTAACCAACACACACACAAAAAAAAACCCACACGTTGACTCGATAAATCGAATCGGTGAGTCAACTCGGTGTAGTTTTTTCTTTTTGGTTCACTAAAGTAAAAGCCTACCGCCCCCACCAACTACTCTTTTTCTACCTAATTTTTTTTCCCTTTTTCGTAATATAATAAATTGTCCTTTTTAACAGATATATTATTTCTTTCGACACGTAATTTTCTTTGTTTGCATACTTTTTCTATATTTCTTTTACCGTCTCATAAGTCATAATACCACATATTTTTATTTATTTTAATTGCTTTGCAAATTATTTTCTTTCTTAAAGATCGAAACTGTATTATTATTAGGCCCCAATTTGCGACCACTACTACTTATTAAAACCCAAAGAAGAAGATTTTCCAGTAAACAATATAAAGCAGTCTTATTGGATATTGACCAAAAAAATTATAAAGCAGACTAAACCAGGGATCTTGGGCCAGGGATCTTTAAGCAATAGTTTTTTATAGCCATAGGAGACTCTCAATTTAATGAATCTAAAATCTGAAACTATTTCATCTAACAAAATAGCAAGTGGTCAAATTTGAGGAAAATTAATCTTTAATTTTAGATTTACGGGATATATAGTAGCTCAGATATATAACCAAAAATATTCTTATCTTAGTTATATAGCTCACTCATCTCATGCAAGTATGCAATAAAAACGTAAAAGAGTGGCAATACTTTACAAACTTATAATGTCTTGGATTAAAAAATAGACAAAAGATTAATTTCGGGAATAACAAAAAAAATTGCAAGGAAATTGATCTTAATAATACATATGAAATGGTAAAAAAAAATGGGAGCTTTACAACAAACAAACAGAAAAATGGTATTGTGTGTTACATTTCGCAAATTCTTCTTCTACAAAATAATCTATTAAAAAAATATACAATGCTCAATTGTAACTGGCATTTAAATTTTGTTTTTGTTTTGCGTTTTTTTTTTTACAATTGAATTAACATGGAAAAATGGATATAAATGTTAAAAAAAATTGTAACACTGCCACTATTAGTTTTAGTAGCCTGGGAACATCGGTGGTGGAGGGGATGCATATTGGAATCCGATGTGTGGTGGTAGGACAAAATCACCGTCATTGTTTTCCGGCGGTGGTGCAGTTTTGTCCGTGGATACTTCCGGTGGTTCAGTTTCTTCTGATTGTTTTGGTGATGAGACCGGTTTGTTTGATGGTGATGGCGCATGAACCGGTTTGAAAATTGGTGTTGGAGCTTGAACTGGTGATTGATATGATTCCGATGATGGAGTTGGTACTTGAGTTGGGGATTGAACCGGTGTTGGAATTTCAATTGGCGATTGATCTGATTCTGATGATGGAGTTGGGGATTGAACCGGTGTTGGAGCTTGAATTGGTGGTTGATATGATTCTGATGATGGAGTTGGGGATTGAACCGGTGTTGGAGCTTGAATTGGTGGTTGATCTGATTCTGATGGAGTTGGGGCTTGAACCGGTGTTGGAGCTTGGATTGGTGGTTGAATTGTCGGTGGTGGTGAGAAAACTGGTGGAGGCGGAGAATAAACAGGTGGTGGTGGTGGAGAGTGGATTGGAGGAGGAGGTGAGTAAACTGGTGATGGTGGCGGAGGTGAGAAAACCGGTGGTGGTGGAGAGTGAACCGGTGGTGGTGGTGAAGGCGGCGGAGGAGAAGCAACTGGTGGAGGTGGGGAGTGAACAGGTGGTGGTGGTGGAGGAGGAGAATGTACCGGAGGAGGCGGTGGCGAGTAAACTGGAGGTGGTGGCGAGTAAACCGGAGGTGGAGGTGGTGGAGAGTAAACCGGAGGTGGTGGCGAGTAAACCGGAAGTGGTGGCGAGTAAACCGGAGGTGGTGGCGAAGATACCGGTGATGGTGGTGGTACACGTGGTTCCTCTACCTTGGGTGGTGGCGGCGAACGACGGTTTTTAACCGGAGATGCGTCGTATGGATCTTCTTTTGGTGGTGAAACCGGTACAGGAGTCTCTGATTTTTGTGGTGGTTCAGGTTTAGGAGATTCTTCAGGTTTAGGTGGTTGTGGTTTAGGAGACTCCGGTTTAGGAGATTCTTCAGGTTTAGGTGGTTGTGGTTTAGGAGACTCCGGTTTAGGAGATTCATGCTTTGGTGGCATAGGTTTAGGTGTAGGTTGTTCTGGTGTTTTGGGTGTCTCGGGTATTGATGGTTTTTGTGGTTCTGGTTTAGGTGATTCATCAGGCTTTGGCATAACCGGTTCTTTCGGTTTTGGTGGATTAGTTTCTGGCGTCTTTGGTGTATTTGGTGATGGTTTAGGTCCACTGTTGCTGCCCCCAGAACACTTGTCCTTACTACAATCCACAGGACGACTAACCACCGGTAAACATTGCCTAACCGATTTCTGGTTTGGTCTATTCTTCAAACAATTACTCGTATCATCAAACTGTTTCCCATTGTTCTTCCCAGGAACACAACTCTCAGCTTCTCCACTGAAATAATTGAAAGAAAACTTGAAATTTTCCAAATTAGGCAACTTGCAAAACGTGTCAGCAACAAATCCAGTCAGCTTATTATTCGACAAATCCAACTGCTCAACGCTAGCTAAACCGGACAAGCTCGATGGTACACTACCGAAAAACCCGTTATTGCTCGCATCGAAAACCGTCACATTGTTAAGCGAACCGATCTCATTCGGGAAACAACCGGTTAAATTGTTTCCAGTGAAGACAACCTCATTGAGATTCTTCATCTGACCGATTGATTTCGGTATACAACCACTAAACTTATTGTTGGCAAATGTGACAACCGAAGCAGTGGATTTTCCAATCGTACCAGGAATAACCGATTCAAACCGGTTATTGTTCAAAAAAATCGCATCGAGATTTTTATCAAAGATCTCAGATGGCAAACTTCCTTCGAATTCGTTATATCTTAAGTCGAGATACTTCAAAGACGGCCACGATAATGAAACTTCTGGGAATTGACCAACGAATCGATTGTTGCTAACATCGAATTCGTACATCAAAACGAGTTTTGATAAGCTTTTGGGGATAATCCCACAAAATCGATTCGAATTGATGTGAAACATAGCTAGATCGGTAATTAGACCTAGCTCCGGTGGTAAATGTCCGGCGATATCGGCGTGGTTAAGATCAACACCAGCAACCACCGTGAGGCTGGGATCATCTAGAGCTTCTGCACAATAAACTCCATTGTAAGAACACACATCAGATCCGACCCAGTTTTTCGTGGTTTTAAATGGGTCTGAATAAATCGCTTTTTTCCAGGCTTGAAGAGCAATGTAGGCTCTTTTTAGACGGTCGTTTTCAAATCTGAGATTGGGATCGATTTTATTGATGTTTAGGCATTTTTGCTGTAAATCGTCTGTGAGATCGGCGTTTTCCGGGAAGGAATGTTCGTCGTCGAATGTGGCGACAACGACTGAGATAAAGACGAGGAAGAAGAAGACGCAGCAGCCAAAGGGCCTCTCCATTTTTGTTTTTTTAATCATATTTTTTTAATGAGAAACCTTGGGAGGAAGGCCCAAGGCTGCTTAAGAGACGGGTCTTGAGAGAAAAAATCTAAGAATGAAAAAAAAGGGAAATTATAAAGGAACTGATTTTAACAGACTACAAAATTGCTATATTTAGAAGATGTAAAATTAGCTTTTCTCGTTATTTCTTTTAGAGAATTGTAAAAATAGTAAGCTAGTTGCTAAATTGGATTTTAAACGATAGCTAATTCAGGTCGTTGACGTCGTCAACAACAACGTTGTTTTTTTTTTTTTTTAAATTGAAATGTTGATGACTGATTTTTGTCTATATAATTGTTGGGGAAAATGGCCAATACCTGCATGAATTCGTCCAAATAATGCGGATTTTTGTCTGAAAAATTAAAGTGTGTAAATTTGTACTCATACTCCTAATTATTTGAAAATTCATACCCAAACTATTTAAATTTTGGCTGATTCCAACATTGACTATCATCATGTTAGTCAATATACAAATTCCGTAAACGGCGATTAATCTGGTATCATGTCTGCTGTCTCGTAGTCACAGAATTATGAAACCATGTTGTTTTAAGGGGAAAAGAAATGGGTTTTGTAATTTTTTAAAACAAAAAAAAGATTGGGCCCAATATCAAAACGACATCGTTTGGAACAGAATTAAAAAAATTAAAAAAAAAAATCTTTCACGACATTTCCAAAGAGCTTATCGTGATGGTGAGATAGATAGAATAATAGGGTTTATTGATTGCTGTTTAGTGTTGATTCAAATCGATTAAATCAATTCTTTTGATAGAAATAGAAGGCAATTTCGAGTTTGGAGATACAAATCAACTTCTGGATTTGTTTAAAATAAGATAATTAAAAGATTTAGGGTCTTAATTTTAGGGTAGATGTTGAATTTTTTAATGATTTCAAAAAAAAAAATTAAAATTTTTTAATTTTTATCAAAACAACGTCGTTTTGATATTAGGCCCAATTTTTAAAAAAAATCATACAAAGCCCATTTCTTTTCTCCTTAGAACAACATCGTTTCATAATTCCATGAAAACATGGCAGTAGATGTGGCACGAGACTAATCTCCATTAACAAAATATGTATGTTGACTAATGGAACGATAGTCAATGTTGGGAACAGCAAAAAAAATAATTTAGGTACAGATTTTCATATAATTAAGAGTATAGGTAGATTTGCACGCTTTAATTTTTAAGAAATTTATCCGCACAATTTAGACGAGTTCATGCAGATATTGGCTGTTTTCCGAAGACCATTACATATATAACATATTTTAAGTGTTGTTCCAAGCTCGTTAACTAACAATTTTTTTGGCCTAAAAGATTAATTATTAACTACGTACATTTCGTTCCCAAGTTTTGTGTTTAATTCAAAATAAAATCAAGTTACATATCGGCATTATTGAACGACAGTGAAACAATATGTTGCGTTTTTGTTTGTGATCATACCATGATTCGTTGAACAAAAAAAAAAGAAAAAACAAATATTCCAAAAATAAATAACAAAGGATCCGACACGTTACTTGGTGGAGACCACCATAAAAGAAAAAGCTAATCCACAACACAAACATGGATAAGATATATAAAACAACTAAATGAAAAAACATGGATAAAACATTAGGTTTTGTAATTTTGTACAATTAAATATCTCTACGATCATTATTCGACAATGACCCTAATATTCGGAGCTGCCTTCTTCAAAACCAGATCTACCTTGAAAGAATGTTCTGTAAAAATGAATGATATAGAAGCAATTTTTCTTTATAGATCTGATCTTATGATTTATGAATAAACAAATTATATACATTAAAACAAAAACAAAATAAGACACAGTCGAGATTCAATGGCTAAGCTTTTATATATTCACCGAGTATCTAAACTCTTCGTGATCTTTTCGTTCTTGATCTTTTCGTACGAATCACATATTTTGTCCGAAGAACGTGGCAGATCGAGGCAAGACAGTGACAATAGAACAAGAGTTCCAAAAACAAAAAAAAAAAAATTAAACCATAAGAGGAGAATACATTAATCACAGAAACCCCACGAGAGGAATGGGAACGGCGGCGGAGTAATTACTCCGGCGACCGTTCATCACAGCTGAATACGGAATAGTTGGCGGAGGACGGTGTCGGAAAGCTACTTCGATCGATTCCGCTACGGCGGCGACGAAATCTACGGTTAATTTCACAAACTCGATGCAAATCTCAAGTTTTAAATTCACCATTGTAGACTAAGAAGAGAACAGTAACTTTTTTTTTGAAAAAAATACGATTTTTGATTTCTTCTCTCTCTCTGTTTTCCGCGTCTCCAGATATCTTGCTCGTCTTTGTGAAGTCTTCCATGCAAAACCAGACTTATATATATACAATTATCCATATTATTATTTTATTTGAATGGATTGTGATAATTCATCAAGTAAAATACCACGTGGCATCAAATTTGCAACAATTTATTAGCAAGTTTTTTTTTCTTTTCTCTGGAAGATGCTTCGTTGGCCTTTGGTTTATACGAAGCGTCAATAATTCGTAGGGGGCGTTTAATATATTATATGTCTACTAAGTACTAACCTTATTGTATACGCCTATGGTTTTATGATATCTGTGTGTATAATTCTATTATACTACATGGGGTACAGTACAGAGAAGCAAAGGTTGTTAAATAAATAATTCCCACCAACGGACGATTAAATCACGTTGATACTTCTTCTTAAAAAAACTAAGTAAGTCATGCAGGATCTGAATTTTAAATTGATTACATATATTATTTAACTAGAAGAAGACCAGACTTTGCTAATGTCTTATAATATAGAGTAAATAATCCCTACCACCGAATTAAGAAAATTTTATTTTAATATAGTATTATTGCTTTGAGGATTTGTTACAAAACATGTATAAACCAATAATATATAATTCAGCATTTAAATCACATGTATGCATGCAATTCAATCAATATCTAAATATCTTGATCAGTGTTTTTTTAACACAACCAGCAAATTTTTAAACCTTCGCCATATTAATTAATCTTTGGAATGTATTGAATAAACGGGATATCATTGACATATAAGTCTAATTACCAATTTTCGATATCCATGATATAAAAAGGTATATGTTATAGACTTAGAGTCCTGGTAATTTGGAAATCTCTGACTTTAGGTGACTATTAAAAATATGTATAATACTCACTGGAAGATCGAAATATCCTAATCAAACGTATTGTACAAAATACATAACCCTCTTATACCTCGAAATCAACTAAGAGACTAATGTTGTTATACAGTTTTCCATTGCTGTTAATTGATAATCATATTATGCAAATGAAAAAGACTGATTAGATATGTATATTCAAATTGTCGTGATCCTGCGGCTTTGGCTAGATGGATCAGGACGAAAAATATTACACCAGTGGGCACGAGGAGGGGTAGTGGGACAAAGATTTGATACTTGATTTAATTCCATTTTAAAATAATATTTTGATTTCTTACAGATATGTTCCATGTGTGACATTAGTTATTAAATGTGATATGTTCTACCTCGCAATGGAAAGCAGGCACATATGTACTCGTTTGAGTCGTTTCTCAGCATAAATAATGAAAAAGGTGTCTGTAACAGTGTAACAAAGTGCTGTCATAAAGACCAATAACTCTTGAATGTTTAACATTCTCTTATGAGTTTTATTATAATAAATCAAAATCAATATGGCTAAATACAGTTTCTCAACGGAATTCCAATTAATGTACTATCGTTTTGTCGAAATACCCTTACTACGTCTACGTTAAGCAACATAAAGCTATTAACCTTCAATTATACACAATTTATTATTCCATTCGTATTATAAAGACTAAAGAGTCCATATTAAATAATGAAAGGAGAATTTTAAATGTCCTCTTTTAAATGTCAATTAAAGGCTCCTCGATGATATTCTTAAACAAATTAAAGAACCAAAATTAGGCAAAAATATTGGGTCCAGTGGTCCATTATTCATACATACATATTTTAAAATGTTCTCTATCTAACATGGAGGCTCTGTAATTGTTTTCTCTTTTTTTTTTCCTTGCTATCAGAGAGGATCCTTAATAAATGCCTTAACTAAAAGCACCAAAATTAACGTACCATATACACTATTAATAACGTAGCCAGTGTACTATAGATCGAATCACTTTAAAAGATTCCATATTTGATTTCCTGGGAAAATATATCTTTGTCGGAAGCTTTGTTCAGTAGTTTATCGTCGTATCATATTATAAATTGATTTGGTTACATAATTACAGCCTTAATCAAAGCTCAATATTAGCATTACCATATATTAGTCGAATCACACAGAAGATTCCAAAATGAATATGATTCAACTTTGAGGAGAATATATCTTTTTTGTCGGAAATTTAATTTGGTGGTGAATTGTGTTCTTGGTATTACGGTTTCTAATTTTTTTTAACTAATTGTTTTAGACTTTTAGTTATATGATTAGATAACCACTAATCAAATGGCTTTTAAATTAAGGTTAAACAAAAAGAATGGCTTTTAATGTATAAAATACTATGGACCAAAATAATAATATCGAGAATAGATACGATTACGTAACAAAATCACATTATTGTATGCCGACACTTGACAGCATAGCTCCTTTTACATTATTTGTACACCTTATCCATTTATTTATTTCTAGAGAACATCCCCTCGCTAGAACTACAATGTTTTTTTTTTTCTTTTCATTGTTTCCTTTTCGTCTACTTCATTTAAGATCGACGTGTATATACGTATATGTGTACATTTTATACTAATAAAAGTTGAAGTTATATGCTTCTAAAGGTATCTAAATAGGATTAAAAAGTTTCATTTTATTGGTCCACATCAACATTCAAAAATAAAGAAAAATTCCAAATATTAATATTATTGTTAATAAAATATATATAAAAAATAAAAAAATTATGTATTAAAAAATATCCACATAGTATTAAAAATATAATTTTATTTGTCCACATCAATTTAAAAAATTCTAATATTATTGCTGATAAAGAAATTAAAAAAGTTTACAAATTCTAATCTTATTTTTGAATAAATATTTTTTTTATTTATCTACCTCAACATTGACAATTAAAAAGTTTTCAAATTATATTATTGTTTTTAAATATTATTGAAGAAAAATAATATATATAATTTATATTAATAATAACAACTAAAATAAATAATATTGAAATAAGAAATTTTAAATTTAAATTAGAGGTATAAACACATATTTAGAGACTCTTACATTAGCATTCAATTTTTTGTCAAATAACTATAATAAGTTTTAAGTTTTTTCTGTGTGTGCAACCATTTCAAATACACAAAACAAAAAAAAATAGAGTTAAGTTTCAATAAAAAAATTCAGTCATTACAATGTAAAAGAACCAACTTGACTAAACTATATGTTTAACTATAATTGAAAAGAGATATAAACAAAACTATTACAAGCCACTTTAGTATCGAAAAAGACCGAAAAATCTCCAAAGCTTGGCCACCGAAATTTGAGAAGAAATTTCAAACAATCCGAGAAACATGAGAAGTGATTGATACTCGACACTTTTGAAAAATGAAGCACTGAAAATAGAGAAAGATGTTTCATCATAAAGACAAAGGAGTTTGAGGTATCTAAGGAAGATTTTTGAAATAACATGTCATATAATGGGGTTTTAGTAACCTAACATTAACCAAAAAGGTAACAATTAGCTGACCAAGCAGCATCCGAATGCATTCGGTAAGCTTCAAGACAAGAAGGCGATACCAAAATCATAACACTTTTAAAAAACGAAGCACTGAAAATAGAGAAAGAAGTTCCGTCATTAAGACGAAGATTGAGATATCTGAAGAAGATTTTTGAAATAACATGGCATTTGATGGGGTTTTAACAAGATAACATTAACCAAAAAGGTAACAATTAGCTGATCAAGCAGCATCCGAATACATTCGGTAAGCCTCAAAACAAAGAGAGACCACAATCACTTACTTCTTGTGGGATCTTCCAGTTTTTATTTCTACATCTATTATTAAAAAAACTTAAAAGCTATATGCCTCTAAAAATGTCCACATATGATTTAAAAGTTCAATTTTATTGGTCCACATCAATATTTAAAATTAAGAAAATTTCAAATATTGAAAATTATATGGTTAACAAAAACATATATTTATAGAAAAATAAAAATTGTAGCTATATGCCTCTAAAGACATCTACATAAGATTTAAAAGGTCAATTTTATTAGTGTACATCAATAACTAAAATTAAAAAAAATTCTAAATTATAAAATTACATTGTTAATACAAAACAATTTTAAAAATCATGAGATTTGTCAAATTTTTAAGAGTTTTGTTGGATTTGTAAAATTTAGAGAGAGTTCTATGGATTTAAACAATCTATTAAGAATTTTTTAATATGACAGATTTTGAGAATCCAAAGGATATAGATAGTATTTTGAGAATCATTATTTATGAATTAAATTATAAAGAATCATTATGCCAATAACACTAGATTATAACAGAATCATAGAATCATTAAAATGCAGACTTTTTGAATAACAATGGATTTTGATTAGATTATAAAAATCATCATATCAATAACAACTGATTTTTATAATCTCTAAATGAATAACAGAGGAATCTATTAAGAATGTAAAAATTCACAAACCAATAACTATAGAATCTTAAACTCTAAAAATCTTTATAAATCAACTCTTCAATAACACCCCCTATGTTTAAAAAGTACCATTTGATCAATTTGTAAAAGTTTTAGTTGATTTGAGTATATTAATTTATAAATGTTTGACCAATTAATACGTTTTTGAATATGACATACTGTATATAGATTTAAAACAAAATTGTTAAACCTCAAAATTTAATAATAATTAACACCATAATATTTTTAATATACTATTAAATTACTAATATAAAAAATTTATATCTTAATAAATATAATTGATTGCATATAATTTACGTAAAATCTAGTTATACCTATAAGAGTGAAGACTCTTTATCACATGAAAAAACAATCACACTTGACACGCGTGGTAATAAAGCCCATATGCGATGGTCGAAATGGTCAGAATTTATTCATTCTCTCCTTGGTTGGTGCACGTACTCTGGTCGAGGATGGGTATTCATTCCATGAATGAGCTAGGGCAGGCCATAAGTTCTATGATAATTTTTTTATTTATTTCACAACAAAAATAGTATATTATTATGTTACCGTTAAATGACTTTTCTGTAGGAAGAGCCAATTAGAACTCATCGAATTATACAAGAAAAAAATATGAATCTTTGTGTTCGTACTTTTCTTAGGGAGGCAATTTTCTCGGATACTAGTACAACGAAAACTATTAAAAACACTAAGAAAATGTAAAAAAGTTTTAAAATATTTGAATATTTTAAATCCTGATACAAAGGTAAGCCATTTCAACGGAATGGTGAGTACCATCGAAATTAAATCAATGCAGACACCAGTAAATTAATACGATATCTATAAGTTTTGATTAGAGCTTCGATCAAAATGCGAAGAATATTGTCCATGAGTGGTTTTGGCACCCGTAAATACCTGCAATTGTAGTTCTCAATAGAAAATTTGAAAAAGTTTTAAAACTACTGTAAAGGAAAAATCTTTTGATATTATTTGGCTCCTTAAAATCTTACTAATACATAATTTTCACTTGACGTAAAAAAAAAAAACATGATTTTCACTTATATAAATTAAAATTTATTACCAAGAAAATGCCCCACAATCATCTAATTTACTACTATTATTCATTTAACACCTATATTATCACTAAACCTTTTCTCATCAGTATGGTTTACAGAGTCTGAACACACAAAAAAAAACAGTTTAACAAAAAAAAAACAGAGACATTAGCTAGAGAGATGAAAACGTCACAAACACTAGATTGTCTTCATGGCAGAGAAAATATGGGCTTCAAATATAATAAATGGGCCTTGTCCATATATCCCTAGAAACAACGCACTACAATATGCTAATAAATTGTCTTTTTCATGACAAGAATCCCACATCGGTAGTATATAGAAAATACATGTTGTATAAATAGCTTACAGAGAGCAACATTGGTCACGACCTTACTTGAACAGGATCAGTTCTATAGGCTCGTACCTCTGTATCCTTGATTTCTAAGGAGACAGGCCCTAAACCCTGGTTGATGAACTATGACCGTGCGATCAGAGCGTGATTAACGGCCACGATCATCTTCCAGATGCATCCGGTGCTGTAGAGGATCGTTACTCGGTTCGGTTTATTCTAAGCCGGGGTGGTCGCACGGCGGTCTGACAGGTTTCCTTTTTTATTTTCATTAAAGTTTTTTGCAAAGATCAAAAAGATATATCTTTTTTAAAAATTTGTTTTACATCGTCGATTCTCTCTTTTCTCCCAAATTAGGTTTGGATTCTCTCGTTTCTGTAAAACAAAAACCTCTTATCCTCTCCTTCAATGGACTCTCCGTGAAAATAAATAAAAAAGCAACAGGTTTTACATAAAAAAATGGCGATGTCTCATCTCTTTCTTTCTTCACCTCAATCTTCAGTGGCTACGCGACTTCACTCTCCTCTTCTATCGACCCAGGTAACGAAACACTGTCTTCTTCTCTACCGAATCTCCGATTCCTCCTCGACTTAAAAAAAAGTTTGTTACTTTTTCATTATTTCTTCTGTGAGTCAAGACCAGAATTTCAATCGATTAATGATTCGATGGAAGATTTGCACTATTGGTATAGAGATTGAATTGGATCAGTTTAGTGTTTAGCATCTGATTTTGGATCCATTAAACATGTAAATCTTGCATCTTTCGTTAGGTCCTTCAAGAAATTACCCGACTTTGCTCATGGGTTTGTTGATTATCCTTTATTCTATTTGCAGTTCACGTCGAGCTACTCTAAGAGCAATACATATTCTAAGTGTGCAAATGAAGCGAAACTATCAAAGAGATTCCTTTGTCGCTCGATTCATATGGAATCTGGACATTCAGGGGAACCAAAGAGGCTTAGTTTCGATAATCTGATGAGAAGAACAAAAGATGTTTGGAACAATTCTCCACAGTTCATCAAGGAGTTCCCTTGGAACAAAGCATTCGAGAACTTCATACAGCTCGTTCTCGATCTCACCATATCCGTCGTTAAGTTCTTGTTCGTTCCCGTACTGGCGGTTTCTTCCATCAGCGAGATGTCTTACTGTGCACATGAGAGGAAGCTTGCTTTAGTCCCGTTTCCATTAGTCATCGGTGTGCTTGTTGGAGGCTTTCTACAAGGAACCGCTTTGAAGATCTCTCCTCGTCTTAAGGTACAGCTCGTTAATTGATACCAATCTATGCATTGTGACGATTTCGATATTTTAATATAAGATTTTGGTTTTGCAGGAAGCAGAAGTGCCGTGGCATTTGATAGCTATGATGATGTTATTCACTCTGATTAAACTTCCTGGACCGTATTATCCGTATTGGGGGCGTTTGTTTGTTCCACATTTTGCAAATGGAGTGTTGTTTAGAGCACTTTGGTCCATGTTCTTTTGGTACAAGAAGACTAGAGACAACACATCAGGAAATCCTCTTCAGAATCACAGTTTGGAAACAAAATGAGCATCTTCATCTAAGGTACAACTAAATTTGGTTATGATGAGCACATAAATTGTTCACACACATAACATATGGACATGGTTAGTGATGACTTATAGTCTCTCTCCATTTGTTTCTTTTGTAGGCTGGTGTTCTCTTAGGTTTGCAGGTGGTTACTTTTTACATGATTAATTCTGGGAATTATCTGGAACCTCGCGGATTAGTTATTGAGCATAGATAGGAAGCTTTCTTCTTCTTCTTCTTCTTCTTCTTCTTCTTCTTCTTCTTCTCTCTTCAATCTCAAAAAATTTGAGGTAAATGAGTTAGTACCTTTTAGGCCATAGAATTGTGTTGTTCTGTATTCTCCTATTGACTATTTTTATGTGAAAAAAGTGTCTCACTTCTCTTGAAACCACTGTATGTTGTATACGTATCTTGAGTTCGAACAACAGGGAGCGAAGATTCACATTTGTTTTTGGACATACACGTTTTATTAGGCAACCTGAGAAACTTATCCTAGGATTGTTTACATTTTGTGTATATTTGTAAATGAATCCACAATCTCGAGCATCTTAAGCAATTTTTGTTTTGTTTTGTTAATTGTAAACTTAAACACTATATTTAAACAAAAACATAATCTACGGTTTGTTTAAAAAAAAAATCTTGTTTCAAAAAATGATTTATAAAATCTGTGCTTATTTAAACTCAGATTACGTATAATATTCACGTGAGTTGATCTCTAGCTTTGTTCTATAGTTTATGATTGTTTCTCTGAAAACGTATTAGAAGATGAAAAGAAAAAAGATTTGGAATTTTTTTTAATCGTCTGGAGTTTTTATAAATTAAAAGGACATATTCGAAACAAAATTTGAACTGAAAAACAGAGCCAGAGAAAAACATAAATCGAAAAGCATCAATCACCAAAGGATGTCATGTGTGAGGATCATATTTGGTATTGTAACCAAAGATTTGGAGTTTTGAAACAGAAAGTTGTAAACTTTTCTAGTGCTCATGTCAAGGTCATATTGATATTGTCATGTGTCTTAGCAAAATCTATTCTCATTGTACGGGTTAAACTCGTTAGGTGTGAATTAAATTCTTCTAGAAGATGAAAAGTACAAACTTTAAATGATTCTTCTTAACATACTACACTATTTCCTAAGTACTTTTAAAGTACAAACTAACACGCCATTGCAGATCCGTATATGTAATAGTATTGATCTCATATTGATATGACAAAATCGACCAAGAAGACAAAGATAGTTACAAGTTAGTATCAAGTTCCAACGTAAACACTCAACTACCAGTTAACTCTTTTTGGGGTCCAATGTGAATAAAGGTAAAACCAAGGGGGTGAAAAGGACAAGTTTTGGTTTAGATGGGCATTTTGAAAATTCCGTAAATACCCTCTCCATCGTTTTCTCCTTACGATAGCCATTTTTTTTGTGAATTTTTCAAAGAAAACAAGAAAGGTATAATATTTGTTTTCTTCTTCTTTCAAGAAACTGGCAAAAATGGTTTCTGACTCGGACCTCGTAACCCGGCTCCGGGAAATTCTCAGTAGCTCCGACTTAGAAACAACGACGCCGGCGAGCGTTCGCCGTCAGCTTGAGGCGTATTTCGGCGTCGAATTGACGGATAAGAAGGCTTTCGTCAGGGATCAAATCGATGCTTTTCTCGAGAGCGATGCTGTGGTAAAAAGCAAACCCGAAGAAGAAGAAGAAGAAGAAGAAGACTGTAGCGAAGAAAACGATGAAGAGGGAAGTGAAAACGATGAAGACAAGACAGAACGGTCATAATTTTCTCTCTCTTTTATTTTTTGAAAGCACCTTTCTTGGAGATTTTGGAAAAAAAAATGGATTTTTGATCTTTCCTCAATGTTCATCGAACACACACTTGCATTTATTTGAATTAATTTCTGAAACACTGGATTGTGTAATGTTTACTGTTTAACATTTCCAATTAAATTTGTTGTTTTGATACTTGAAAATGGACATAGCTGTAAAATTCATATATTTTTTTTTTTTTTATGGTGATTGAATTAATCAAAGTTTGGGGACTATTAGTTTCTTATGCTTTTTTTTGTTCTGGTTGGTGATTTTTTAGAAGAGAGTTGTATGAATGGTGTGATGTTTCTACTTTCTTGTGATTGGTTTAGATGAAAGATGCCAACTTTGTGATTGTGATTGTGTTTTGTTTATGTATAGACCGGTAGAGGCTAAGAAACGTCGTGGCGGGTTTAACAAAATATGTCAGCTTTCTCCACAACTAGACAAGTTTCTAGGAACATCTCAGTTAGCTCGAACAGAGGTATCTTTTCGAGTCTCCATTCCTTAAATTTCGTTTCCCTGCGAGATGTTTTGTGGGGAGTAAGCTTTAGTTGCGTTTTTATATTTTGCATATATCAGGTCGTGAAGAAAATGTGGGCATATATCCGTGAACACGAGTTGCAAGATCCAAAGAATAGGCGGAATATAATATGTGACGAGTCGCTCTATTCCTTGTTCCGTGTAAAGACCATTAATATGTTTCAAATGAACAAGGCATTGGCAAAGCATATTTGGCCTCTAAATGGAGATGGTATTTTCCTTGTTATATATACTGCATTCACTGTTCTTGTGAATGTTTTATGGTATTTATAGTTCTTGTGTACGGTTTTATCTTTATAGGGTGTGTTAACAATAGTGTTAAAGAAGAAAATGAAGATGAATCATCTGGAGAAAGAGATGAGCAAAACGAAGACGCAGGAAAGAATAATGAAGAAGAAGAAAGTGACGAAGAGGTAGACCGGAGTTCACGAAAACGCAAGAAGAGAAAGTTAGTTGTTTCTTTCTCTCAAGTTCTTGTGTTGTTGTCACCTTTAGGGTCTAGAAACTAACTCTGAACTCTATCGAATTAGACCAGCCAAGTCCGAAGAGAAACCCAAAAAAAAAGGAGGCGGCTTTACCAAAATTTGCAGTCTTTCGCCAGAACTTCAGGCTTTTACGGGAACTCCTCAGCTAGCTAGAACAGAAGTATGTTATTGACCAGAGTTTGTTGATCTAGGGAAATTACAAAACTCCTGGATGTGATATTATATCTGTTGAATTAATGGTTTTTCCAGGTTGTGAAAATGCTTTGGAGCTATATAAAGGAGAACAATTTGCAAGACCCATCTGATAAACGCACAATAATATGCGACGAGTCATTGAGATCGCTGTTCCCTGTCGACTCTATTAATATGTTCCAAATGAATAAACTTCTAACCAAACACATATGGCCTCTAGTACAGGAGGAGGAAGGTTTGTGATGATTAACAAAATGTTCTATCATTTTTTTTCATGAAATAGTCATCTTTATCCAAGTATCTGCTTTGCTTCCTTTATTACATGGAGGTCTCTGAGACTTGTGTTTATATGCATACAAATTCCTTTTTGTTAGACATTGTTGAAAGCTTTTGTTGGTAAAAGTGAACTCTTATGCTCATAAACGTTCAACCTATAGGCTTTTGGCAGAACTCTGATTGTGCTTGTGCTCTTTCAAGATTAAACTTCTTGTCTTTCCTACATAACACTAAATTTTGTTCGTCTTTTCTTCAGTAGGAACAGCTCACGAACCAAAGAAGGGAAAGCAGAAAATGGAGATAGACGAAGGTACGAAAAAAGAAGCAGTTTCACTTAATCTATTCATGTTGTTTAGTCAAGGCTAAAATCAAATCATCCATCTTCTTGAACTATATAGATAATGGGGAAGTAAATTAAAAGTGTTCGATCATTTTATTCCTGAAGTAGTCATCTCTCTTAAATATTTCTGAGACTTGTGTTTATGTGAATTAAAAAGTCTTGAAAGTTTGTGTTGCTAAAAATTGAATTTTTTGTTATAACTTTCTCTGATTAGTCTTGTGCCCGTTAATGTTCACCCTTTTTCATGAGTCAATTGTTAAAAACTATATCGCTTCTATGGTTTCTACTGATAGGCTTTTGATAGAGAAAGTTTTCATCTTTCTTTGCATACACTAATTTTGGCGCGTCTTTATTCCAGCAGGAACAGCTAACGATCCAGAGAAGGGAAAGCAGAAAATGGAGATATACGAAGGTATGAGAAAAAATAATAGAAAACCAAAAGCGTTTTTTTGTTCAATCCACTCCTGTTTGTTTAGCCAAGGTTAAAATCAAACCATCTAGCTTTTTAAACTATACAGATAATGACGAAGCAGCAAATGAAGAAGAGGCCACTTTCATTAAGACTGAACAATGATTAGTCATTAGTCCGTCGAAGGGGTCAATTTTGGTAAGCATTTAATCTATACGAACTCAGATTTCAACTGATGTTGAGTTAGCATTTGTTCACTCTCGGGTATATATAGTGACAAAACTGGACCTGACCAAGAGTCGTTTTGACTTCTGACTAATTCTTTTTGTAATCAGACTTTAAACTATGCAATGAAGTATTTAGTGAAGTGGTAAAATTTTTCAACTTGGCTACCAATATTTGCAAAAAGTTGCTATAAAGAGAGAATCAAACCCCTTGCGATGAAAAAAACCTTGATTTGGTAACATGTTTTTACTTTTTAGCACAAAAGGAGAAGATAACATGTTTCAAGTTAGATACCAAAATTTGCATAAATAGTACAGTGATTCTATAGGGAAAGAGAGTTTCTGGTCCTGATCTTAAAACAATACAATGTATTCTCACTCAAAACTTGAAGTCAAAAACTCTCACACAATTATCATCACCACAAGAAGTTAACCTTAGCAAGCTCTGGTTAATCTCAGACTTTTCGGTTGGTCTCCATGCTAATCGGTTCACGGCTGAGACATGACACATAAATGGTTCGAGCCTAAGAGCAAGAGCTGCTGTTGCCGTTGTACCTTCCTCTGTTTCTCTAATCTTTATGTTCCACAGCTCTATCAGTCCGCTTTCCATCCCAATCGCTATGCACCCACTTTTCTCCTTGTGGTCTAGTCCCGTCCAAGCTACAGCTGTGACACTGCTCCCAAACTGAGGCAAGGCAAGAACCTGTTTGACACGAGCGTCTTTCTCGATGGACCAGATTTTCACGGTCTTGTCTCTTGATGAAGTTGCAAATTGGTGGCCAAATGGGTTCCATGAACATGCCCATATGATCCTCTTGTGTGCTTCAACCTTTGCCATGAGTTTGTGACTAACCTCGCCATTGTCTGAACAGAGAAGATCAAGGAAGATAGAAACAGACAGAGACTTAGAGGACTATAGAGACACTCAAGACTGAACCAGGGTAAACAAGAACCACAAAATGTTGAGACTTCTGGATGTTATGAGAGGCCAAATCTTTAATAGGAAAATAACGCTTCAAATTTCAAGGTTCTACCTGTTCTTTGGATCGAGAAAACTGAGAAGTGACGATCTCTGGAGACAGACAAGAGCAGAGTGTCGTCATAAGAGAACTCCAAGTGTGTCACTGTCAAGCTGTGAGATTGCAAACGACCAACAGCTTTCCATGTTCCAACCTCCCATAGCCATATTTCCGCCATGGATGCGGATTGAGCCTGAAGAAGTTTGTGGTTCATTTAAAAAAAACAAAAAATTAGTTTTGAAGTCCATCCCTGTCATAATGAAATGAGGAGATCGAACAAGTGGAAACTAATCCAAAATCCAAATTAGCTTACCTTACACGATGAAGCAACAAGGCTTCCGTTGTGGTCACAGCAGAGAGAAAAAAGCTCATTACCATGACCGTAGAGTTTATGAGATTCCGGCCATAAAGTATGAAACGCAAGCTGATCTTCGATTGGAGGCTCCTTCAACTCCGCTGGAGCAGCCTCTGGAACCGTTTCAAATGTATCCAAACCTTCTCCTCCGCCATTTCTCTCAAGCGGTTGACTAGAAGCTGCAAAAAGAAGAAAGTACTATGAATCTCAAGATTGCATTTGGTAAAAAGCTAGAAAGGATGTTGAATCAATCACTCACAGTTTAAGTAGATAGGTTTCTGTGATAAACCAAGAGCAGACATATTAGCTCCAAGGACCTGCACATCTGCTTGTAAATCCTCAGGGAAGCTTCCTTCTCCTCCGGCACAAGTGTGGTTCAGTGTCTTCAAGAAAGATAGAGGAGCCTCAAAAACTCTCACAACTTTCTCCTCTGCTCCACTTACAAAACGGTGATTACCTTTACCTTGAACCATAGCCACACAATTAATGTCATGACCATGAACCTGTGGACGAGCCAGTTCATGCCAATGCTCATCCTCTGCTTCATTTCCCTCATTACTTTTCCATGATGAAAACACACGGGTCGTCTACAAAACCGCAATAACACAGAATGAAGTGTCAAGAAAGTTACTTTTTTCTCCTGTTCTGTGTAGAATTAAGTAAAATATCATAAAAGAATACTAAATCCTGACCTGATCGTGGCTCACGGATAGTAAGTACTCGCCGGTTCTAGCCCACGTGATATCAGTCACAGCAGCAAAATGACCTGACGGGACTTTCTGCATCTGCCAGTTCTCAGACTCTTTGCAGCTGCTTACATTTCTCCAGAGATGAAAAGATCCACCGTATCCATGAGCAAGAATCGACACACCATCTGGGCTCCAATGGCCACCGTAGAAACCAAGAGCACAATGACTAAGCTCTCCCACACACACAACATTCACCCACACACCCGTATTCTTCTCAGGTCGCCAAATCATCATCGTTTTGTCCATTGAAGCCGATAAAATGCTCAGCGGTTGGTGGTTAATTAACTGCCCGTCAATTGAATCAATGACTGGAGGTTGCCATTCCACTGAATAAACCCAATCTTCATGTCCAATGAGAACAGATTCGACTGAAATCTGGTATGTGAACGTCCCTGAGATGAAAACCGGGCCTTCAATGTAAGAAGCAAGAGTAATTTCTCTTTGCCATGAGCCAACATCACCGACTAACACGAGTTTCCAGATCCGAATAACTTTGTCCTGGGAAGAACTCACAAGCATAATACTATTGGTGGTTTCTTCTGTTGAGTGTAACGGTAATGAGAAGTCCAAACTCCGAATCCAGTCCGTGTGGCCTTTGAGCTCACAAACAGAAGTGAACTGAAAAAGTATGAGCAAAGAAAAAAACTCTCACAAATGAAACTAATCTGAGAATATATTGGCACAAAAGGGCAAAAGCAGCAAGCACCTTTCCTGTTCTTTCTCCACAGTAAAGTTTGATTTTGTTGTCCAATCCACCCAAAGCGAGGACAAATCTACCAGGATTGTTAGGCAATTCCGCTAATGAAAGCGTTACAATTGCTTTGGAGTCCACACAGATGGAATCCAGACACAAGACTTTACATTCCTCTGCAACAGATAACACACAGGATGAAATTTGTGAATTAGATACTGCTTAAAAGGCAATACTTCACTTTGTTTAACTTTGTTTATAGACTGTAGGAACTTGAATGCGTACCACTAGACTGAGATGGAAAAGAAACATCCCAGACATTCACAACTCCATCTGAAGAAGCAGAAGCAAACATTGCATCGGTTTCAGAAACCATATACGCAGTGATGCAAGTTACACCTTTCTTGTGAGACCGTGGTAGTTGTAGTACATGTCTCCACTGTTGATAAAACCAAAAAGGACACGTAATAAAGGATCAGAGATAATACAAGAACCGTAGAGAAACTCAGATCAGACTGATTAAATTGAAGGGCTTTTACATTGTTATTGGCAGTCGAAAGTTCCCAAAGGATGATGATACCATCGGTATCACCTGAGAGCAGATAATGTTGGTCCAAATGCTTGGCTGCGAACAATCATATAATTTCCAGGGATTAACCATTGGATGTTTTTCTCCTAAAATCTGTAGTTATATGTCTAGAAAAGATTCAACTTTTCACAGCAACTAAGTTTGGTGATAGAGACTATAAATAGAAATTTGAATGCCTATGCCTTCACATTATACAAAAAGAATTGTCTAATAATGATAGCAATAAGCCTATAACTCAGAACCTGTTCAGTCTAAGTTCTCTAGTTGATTAAACAAAAGATGAGCACAATTAGCTTTGATAGATAAGTCATGTACGAAAAATCAAAGGCTCCTAACATCAAAAGTCTCGTCCTTTGCAACGCAAATGCGATTCAACATACTACAAAATCCAAATCCCGAACGGCTCATAAACCCAATGGGTCAAAAGAAGAAGAAGATACCTTTGAAAGCAAACTTGCTACTGGGTAACCAATGAGTGCAATTCACAGAAGCTTTGTGACCTGGAAGCGTAGTAAGAATCTGGGCAGTCTGAAAAAGAACAAAAAAAGAAATCAAACAAATACACAAAACAAAAAATAAAAAACAAAATCACATATTGCTTTCAAAAGAGAGAGAAAAAAGGACTTTTTGAAGGATTAATCGTAGAAAGAAGAGGGAAACAGAGACCTTAGGGCAGAAAACAGCAACGGCGTTTTGGGCACCGAAGGAGACAAGACCAGAAGCTCCCCAAGACACGTTATTCACCACTCTGTTGCATCCTGCTCCTATGAACACTCTCTTCGCTTCGACTTCGGTGTTTTCCGACATCTTTATCAGAAGGAGACTTTTTGATTGAAGATTACGAAGTTCTTCTCCGTGGCTACTACTTTTACAAGTAATGTCTCGCCGACGGCGAAAAATCTCGCCGGAAATTGTAGAGCTGAAAATTGCGAATTGCAGGGGAAAAGCGGAGCCGAACAAGGGTTACTTTGGGTTCTTGACTTCTGGTTGTGAATATTTAATGGGCTGAAATATTAGGCCCAAATTTTAAAAACTGTTGAATAATTTTTTTTTGTTTTCCGTCTAAAATCTTATTTTTTCTATTAAAACATTGTCCAAACAGATTTGTTTTTAGTTTTTTACTATTCTACTTTTAGAGATCTACTATTTCTATTACCAAACAAAAATTTTAATTTTATTTATCTATTTTATTTATTTTCAAAAAATAATAAAATAATATATTTAAATTTTATTTTTAAAATTAATTCCGAAATTTTTTAAATTTTAATTCAATTAATTTATATTTTCTTTGATATAGTTAAAATTAATTATCAAAATTACAAAAATCAATTGTTATTATTTTACAAAATAGTAAATAAGATATTAATTTAATTTCTTTTAAAATATCTAAATTTAAATAATATTTTCATAATAATAAAGATAATAAACGATATATTATTATATATTTTTTATAATTAATTATTATATGATAATATGAATAGATAGAGCAAAATTATGTTTTTATATTCATAGTTTTTTTTGGATTATGTTTTTATAACGAGTTAAAATTATGTTTTTATAATCATTGTCAAATTTATTTAAAAAAAAATAAAAATACAAATTACATTATAAATATTATATCATTTATTAGAAAATATAATATTTATAAAAATAATTATATGTCAAAAATAATTATATCATTTATTAGAAAAATATTATATCTATAAAAATGCAAATTACATTATAAATTTAGATTAAAAACATTTGCGAACATACGGAATAGAATCTATTTATATATTTACAACAGAAAAAAAAACTCTGATTGACCTACTCGATCTTTTGATGATGTCGTCGACTATCTCTGGTTGAAAATGATTTCTGATGGATTCTTTAATAAAAAAATCACTACAAATTGATGGATCCAATGTGAACATTTTTAAAAAATATTTAACTTCAACTTTTATTAATAATATATTAATATCATTTATTTCAGAACATGAAAAAGAACAAACAAAAAAATTAAGGAGGAGAGACAGTATAGAGTTTAGAGGATTTTGGTTTGCAGCAACACGTTAGTCCTTTACAGTAGCTTCCAGGAAACCCTAAGCCAGTGCATAGTGTGTTGCAGTCTGGTACAATTCCAGGTGAACATACACCAGGACACACGGAATTATATATCTCTGATCTTGCTTCTGATCCTGTAATTGTTTTTTTTTTTTTTATGTTCATAACCCAAAAACCAAGTATACATTATCATCATTGCGATGCAATTAATAGATAATTTCAACTGCATTCTCTTTATATAAAAAGCAAAACAACATAACAAGAGCAACGTCGTTTTTTCTGTGTGAAAATTAACTTTCATTATCCACAATTTGAAACTTTAAATATGAATAATGGTTGATCGATCCTGATTGCTATTAATAAGATTTTGTGTTAGTTGGCTGACCTGTGACCAAGAACATTACAATGACGATAAAAGCCGTCAGGAAAGCGTATGGATATCTCCGAATATCCATTACATTTTTTTTTTGGTTGTGATATCGACAATATCTTATGAATTCTTTTTATTTGGATGTTTTTGGAGTAGTTCGATGAAGCTCCTGATATAGGAAACGTTCTAAATTTTTAGTCAAGAACATTTATCAGAGGTCAGATTTAAACCTATCAAAAATTTGGTGTAAAAATGAAGTATAATATATAATTCTTTTTGGGCAACAAATGAATTAGTATACGATAAGTAACATCCCGATTCCTGAATAAACAGGAATATTAACTAACCTAAACTAAATAAATTCCAAATAATCAGTTGTTCTTTATTCAAATTCAAACCCAAATCCAAATCTTACAATAGAAATGAAATAACTTATTAAATCCGAAATAAAATAGAAACATTGTCTTAAAAAGAAATATAAAATAGTTCTTAAAAACAATAAAACATTCTCTATTTCTGAAGGCACACCACACTAGAACTACTCGTCTAGTTCTTCCCAGACATCATCACAATCACAATCACAATCACCTGCACATCGGAATTTAGAGAGAGAGGTGTGAGTAATTTGCGAAAATTACTCAGTGAGAACCAAACCAGGCTCCCGCCTTATTCATTTATTTCCACCAACATATTAAGAATAAATCTAATGAAACCAAACAAGCACTCTACAAGTGCACAAGCAACTAACAAGCAGCAATGTCTCCGATCCCGCCTCTCAATAGGCCAAACCACCTTGTCACTCGGACACAGATCGACATCTCACCCTGTCACATAGACAGACGCCCTGTCACTCAGACAAAGACCCTGTCACACAGACAGTCCAATCCCGGCATGCCACATTGACAACCTCGTAGGTCATCACTCCACCGGATGAATGGATTATTGTCACGGTCACACAGACAGCACATAACCCAGCAAACAAACCTGCATTCGGCACATTGCTATACCAGAAACAGACTATGACCTTTAGGACTTCTACCAATCACTAACCAATCAACAAGGTTATCAATCAATCATGCTGGTTCTTCCTCTAATGAGATCCTAGATCTTATTAGTTATATATATATATATATATATATATATGGATCTGCCTAGATGCACAAGCAGACAGACTTGTCCCACCAGATCTAGACTCAACACACCAGAAGAAGATAAAGGGATAAGAAGAAAGACCTAGATCTAATCCTCACCTTGGCCTAAAAGCAGATCTGAGATTAAGGAGAACTAGAAGAGGCAAAAGAATCAAGCAGCTACTGAGAAGGTGGAGGCAGGCGAGTGCTCCTTCTTCTCTCGGCAAGCGGCAGCGGCGGCTCTCCTCGGCAGCGTGCAGCTTCTCCTTCTCTCTCTCACTTTCTTTTCTTTGGGGGCTAGGGTAATTAGAGGCAAAATGAGGCTCATTAACTCCTAATTCCCTATTTATATTAGGGTTTCTGGAGTAGGCCTGAATTTGCTGGGCCTCCTCTAATTAGGCTGGGTTTGGGATGTTACAACTCTCCCCTACTTCCATAGAATTCGTCCCCGAATTCTCTTCCACTCCTCCGGTTTCTCCTTTGTCCTTAAAGAGTTCCGGGAATTCCTTCCGCATTTCCTGTTCTACTTCCCAGGTTTCCTCGCGGATTCCATCTCTTTCCCAACATACCTTAACCACTGGCTTCCTCTTACCATTCAACTCCTTTTCCCGAAATTCCAATACTGCCATAGGCTGATATGCTGCTGAGAAGTCCTTTCTTACATATGCTGGCGGCTGGGGCAAAATGAGCTCTGGCTCCCTCACAACTTTCCTCAGAAGAGAGATATGAAACACATCATGGAACTCAGCTAACTCTTTGGGCAACTCCAAGCGGTAACCAATTCTCCAATCCTTTCCATGATAGGGTACGGTCCCATGTACCTAGGCTTAAGCTTCTTCATCTTTCGATGCTTATCATTCCCTCTGAAGGTCCTCAACTTCAGATACACCATATCACCAACCTCAAAAGACAATTCCTGCCTTCGCTGATCTGCATAGCTCTTCTGGCGATCATGACCTTCTTTCAACCTTGTCTTAAGCATTTCCACTTGCTTAGACGCCTCCTCAAGGAGTTCTGGCTCTAACACTCTCATTTCTTCTACTTCTGTCCAGCACAGAGGTGTGCGACAAAGCCGACCATATAGAGCCTCATATGGTGCCATTCCAATGCTACCATGATAATTGTTATTATAAGCAAATTCTGCCAAAGGCAAATGCTTCTCCCAACTTCCTTCCCAATCTAGGACACACGCTCTCAACAGATCCTCCAGGGTCCTAATCGTCCTCTCCGATTGGCCATCTGTCTGAGGGTGGTATGCTGTGCTGAGATGAACCTTTGTTCCCAATGCTTTCTGGAAAGCCTGCCAGAAACTAGCTGTAAACTTTGGATCCTGATCCGACACTATGCTCACTGGGACTCCATGAAACCTCACAATAACATCAATATACTTCTGCGCCAACTACTTCGCTCCATCCGTCTTTTTAATTGGCAAAAAGTGAGCTGACTTAGTAAAGGCGGTCTACGATTACCCAAATCGCATTCTTCTTACTTAGTGTCTTGGGCAACCCCGTCACAAAATCCATAGTTACCATATCCCATTTCCATTCAGGTAATGGCAAGTTCTGGAGAAGTCCACTTGGTGCCATCTGCTCTGCTTTTACTTGCTGGCATGTAGAACACTGAGATATCCAAGCAGAAATATCACGCTTTATACCAGACCAATGGTAGTAGCGTTTCAGATCCCGATACATCTTGGTGTTCCCTGGATGAATAGAAAACTTCGACTGGTGAGCCTGGCTTAACACTTCCTTCCTTAGCTCATCATTCATGGGAACACAGACTCGATTCCTATACATGTAAGTCCCATTGTCTGCTTTGTGGTACCCAACCACTTGCTTTTCAAAAATCTCCTTAAGGGACGAATCATGCACTTGTTCCTGACAAAATCCTCATTAGCAGGTCAGCATTGTCCAATGCTTCCAATCCTGCGGCATCATCCTCTACTTCAGCGACACACAAACTCAAATTCGCCAAAGTCGCTATCAGCTCCTGCGTTTCCTTAGCCTCAGTAACCGCATTTCTCCTCCTACTCAAAGCATCTGCCACTTGGTTGGCTTTTCCAGGATGATAAAAAATTTCCAGATCATAATCAGCCAATAATTCTATCCACCTTCTCTGCCTCAGGTTTAAATCATCCTGAGTGAACACATGCTTCAAACTCTGATGATCAGTATATATGTGCACCTTCTCCCCATACAGGTAAGCACGCCAAATCTTAATAGCAAAGACTACCGCTGCTAACTCCAAAGCATGGGTCGGATAATTCACTTCATGCTTCCGGAGCTGTCTAGATGCATAGGCTACGACCTTCTTCTCCTGCATCAACACACATCCTAGCCCGGATCCAGAGGCATTGGTGTATACATCATATGGTATTCCTGACCTTGGAAGTACCAATATCGGAGTCTCTGTGAGTTTCTGGTTCAACTCCTCAAAACTCCGAGATCTCTTATCCGTCCACTCAAACTTAACATTCTTCACCATCAAACTGGTGAGGGGTTTGGCAATACTGGAGAAGTTGGGCACAAACTTGCGATAATATCCAGCCAGACCCAAAAAGCTACGGACCTTGGTAACACTTTTAGGTACAGGCCACTCTGTCACTGCAGTGATCTTCTCAGGATCCATGGCTACTCCCTCTTCTGAGACGATATGCCCAAGGAATCCCATCTTCCTCTGCCAGAAGCTACACTTGCTTAGCTTCGCAAAAATCTGCTGATCCCTTAACTTCTGCAGAATCATTCCCAAATGCCATTCATGCTCTATCTCCGACCTTGAATAGACCAGGATATCATCAATGAAAACAATCACACACTTATCCAAGTGCTCTCGAAAAATATCATTCATCAACTTCATGAAAGCTGCAAGCGCATTAGTCAATCCAAACGGCATTACCACAAACTCATAATGACCATATCGAGTTCGGAACGCTGTCTTATTGATATCCTCCTCTTCTATCAGAATCTGGTGATAGCCTGACGCCAAATCAATCTTAGAGAACCATGAAGCTCCTTCTAACTGGTCCAACAACTCATCAATCCTTGGCAAGGGATACTTATTTTTGATGGTCACCTTATTCAGCCCTCTATAATCAATGCAAAGCCGAAAGCTTCCATATTTCTTCTTTACAAATAGCACGGGCGCTCCCCATGGCGAGCTACTTGGCCAAATAAATCCTTTATCCGTCAAGTCCTCCAACTGCTTCTTTAGCTCAGCCATCTCTGCTGGTGCCAATCGATATGGAACCTTCGAAACAGGGGCTGTTCCTGGTTCTAATTCGATAGTGAAGTCAACTCCTCTTCTTGGCGGGGGTCCAGTCAATGGTTGGAATACGTCCGCATATTCATTCACCACTGGTATCTCCTCAAGGTTCTTAGATGCTCCCTCTCCTACCATAGAGACTGTCGCCAAGAAAGCTTCACATCCTTCCTCTATAAGATTCTCGGCATGAATCATCGAAATGACTGGCACTCCTGTGTTGGTCTTTACTCCTTGAAAGACAATCCAACCTCCTTGATGCGGAACATAGGCCCTCGACTTCCGGCAATTCAGGACAATTTCATAATGCTTCAGCCAGTCCATTCCAAGGATAACATCTTAGTGGCCCAACTTCATTTCCACTAGAGTCCAAGGAAAATCTGCTCCTTCCAACAAGATAAGCACCTTTTCATGGGTTCCAATGGTCTCCACCTGCTCACTTCCAGCAGTTTCCACTGCTTTCAACCTGGGGGTGAACTTTCCGGAGAAGGTCCAACACTTGGTCAAGCTCGGGCTCACAAAACTATGTGTGGCACCGGTGTCGAACAAGGTATATGCAATCGCGCCCCCTACTGAGACCGATCCTAAATGATTACTTATATCTAATCATGCATTTCCATTCTACATTCCTATTCACAAGCAAAAATATAGAATCTCACAAAACATTACTAACCAGCGATCGGTGCTGCTTCTTCGG